CAACAATGAATGAGTGGAAGCCCAAAATCTCTGTAAATGTTTATGAAAATTAATAAAATAAAATTATAGAAAAAAAAAGGGATATATGATTGGGTATTATTGTCATGACAGGAGTCCTGAATGAAGGCTGCATAGTGGAGTGGACTTGGGGGGAGGGATTGTATAACAATGAAAGAATTTTTCTTTTACTTTACAAAGAGAAGAGCGAATTCGGGGCACACAGGGGCCAGGGAGAACAGTGCAACAATGAATGAATGGATGGAAATCCAAAGTCTCTGTACACTTTCATTAAAATTAATTTTTTATAAAACGGTAGTGCTTGCACAAAATGAGGACTGTATTAAAGTCCTTTGAATTGTTGACTTAAAAATAGCTCTATTTTTGTTATGTGAATTTCGCCTCAATTTTTTTTTAATCTTCAAGGGTTTTTTAAATTAATACCTTAATGAAAGTTTACAGAGAACTTGGATTTCCATTCATTCATCGTTGCACATTTTCCTCCTTACCCATGCCCAGTTTGCTTTTCTCCATTGCTTTTCTCTCTTTCATTGCTGCACAACAGTGTTTTGTTTTGTTTTTTAAAGAAGATAGGATTTAATGCTGAGACTTACCGACTTTGACTGTTCCAGTTTGAGGTTTCTCCACAAACAGAGTGGACAGCTGAGAATTGGCGTTCTGCTTGTCTTGTTCCTCCCCAGCTGGTGATTCCCCTAGAGACCATTCTAACGACAGAGAGGAGGAAAAGGGTCATTTCAGAGCCACGTTCTTCTGAGGCAGACTTACCTGGGCTTGGGGTTCCCATCAACACTGAACCTTGTCTTTGTTGGACAGGCCTGGGTGAAGACAATCTCATTCTTTATATCCTCCCTTTCCTCTCCTGCCCTTCCCTGCTCCCGGCAGCCATCAGTAGAGGGTGATAGAGTCCCACTTTACAGAGACATCTCTTCATGGCAGGGTAACAAATGGCTGCTTCCTAGTTCTCAGAGAGGTAGAAACGTTTCATGTAATATTTTCCCAGGGCTTGGCTGGCAGTCCTGTTTCCTTTTCTTATTTTCCCACTCAGCCTGTCCTGTAAGAGACACCTAATGATAGGAGGTAAATAAACACTGATTTCTTAGGGTTTTTCCCAGGCTTTCCTGTCTTATCCAGATGTGGCCAGAAGGCCACATACATACAACCAAACTGAGGAAGACTGAAAGATGGGCCAATATGATTGTTCACGCTGAAACCACCTGGAAATATAGAGCCTGGTTGCTATTTCTAAACTCCTTGCTGCCATGTGATCAGACATGTTGGTTACGGTTAGAGAGATGTGGTCGTAGTTTGACAAATAAGTAGGCAGTGAGTGACCTGCAGGTATAGATTTCAGGAATACTAGGAATGGCCTGAAAAGGAGGTGGTGAGAACCCAAACCCAATGAACCAAAAGAAATGACAACTAAACTGACGTCTTCCTAGGATGAGAGAGAAGCTGGAAATGAAATTTTTTGTTTGCTCCGTGCTAGTTCTCATCCAGGCGCTGGGCTGGTAGACTCCGTTAAGGAGGAAAGGAGAAAGAATTGTTGATAGTCCTTTCATCTGCAAGAGCTGAACGTTAAGTTTAGTTTCAGCAAATTAAATAACTGGGGGAAAAAATGCACAAGTCACGAACTCTTGTTAATGCTTCTTGATTCAACTGAAGGAAAACTTACATTTCATTAGTTTAGTCTTCAAGTCTCAAGTCATGCTTCATATTTCTAAACTACAGGAGGAATCTGTTTTCACAATGAAGTTACACAACGTAGTTACATGATTACATGATTTTTTAACATACAAGTTATTGTTAGTTGTTTGGGGGTTGTTGGGTTTTTTTGTTTGTTTGTTTTATGTTGTTTGTATGTCTGTGATAAAAAGAGGAGTAGTGAATGGTTACAACTCCAATTTAGAACACAAGAGAGTTCAAGTTTGTTCACTTCTATACCCATGGTTCCTACAAGAGGACCTGGCCCATAAAAGACCATCACAGGATCCCAGTCAGATCTCAGCACATACTTGCCGAATGAATGAGTAACTTCACAGACTGGGAGCTACAGCTGAGTGGATGCATCTGAAAGTGTTTTGTCACGTGTGTATTATGACAAAAGTTTGAATCGTTATCTCACTCGAGTATATTCTCAGAATGGAGATTTTTAAAAGTTCCTTGATTCTCTGTATTTGCTAAATGTTAAAAACGACAGTTATGATAAACAAAACAAGCCACGTCTGGGGTAGTTAAGGTATATCATTGCTCCTAACTCATGGAGACCCTGTTCATAGGCGTTTCATTGTTGATTTTCAAAAGGAGATCACCAGGTCTTTCTTCCTAGTCTTTCTGAATCTGGAAGCTCTGCTGGAACCTGGGCCTTCTACTTGCAGATAAGTGGTGGCTATGCTAGAGGTGCACTGGCTGTGAATCGAACCAGGGTCTCCGGCATGTTGTTTGCTGTTGCTGTGTACTGCAGAGCTGGAAATGATTCATAGCTGATCCTCTAGTGGGTTTTCAGAGGCAGTAAACTGCACAGGAGGAGACTGCCCATCTTTCTCCACTGGAGCAGCTGGTGGCTTTAAACTTTCTACCACTGAACCACCACTACTTTCTATATGAGGCTAGATCCCAGAAAAACTTTTATGTGCTTACCATGCAAAATTAATTATTGCTTTCCATATTAGTCTTCTTGTAAGAGGAAATGTAATGAAAGATGGCTATGAAAACTACAAACTGGAATAAAGAATTAGATTCAATACTATTTCAAGAAGGGATGTCATTAGTGATTATATTAGGATGGGGCTGGGATGCCCTGCTTCCAGGAATATGCTCACCTGAATCTTTTCTCTCCAGGGCCCGACTACCCACACCTGAAAGGAAAGTGGGATTTGACTGGCATAAGGGAGGGCGAAGAGGGAGCAGCGGTTTCATCATTCTTGGATGCCCCTCACCCTGCTGTCTCCTATGCTCACAGGGAGGGGAAACCCTAGAGGTTGGCTTGGATGGTAACTCAGTGGGTCTTCCTCTATGAAAACATCTGTAAATTGGATCTTATTACAAAATATGAATAAAGGAAATTCTAAATACTTAAATGTATAAGATAAAGCTATCTAACTGGAAATAGAACACAAACTTTTTTTTTTCTCCCAAAACTCATCCTCAAGATTGACTGGTCTTATCTTTTTCACAAAAGAAGACTCTTGAGTTGCTTGTGTTAGACAAGACTTTGTCATTGAAGCCAACATTTTTCTCTCGGTTTTGGCGGTTCTGGCTGCCCTTGCTCTGCTCACTAGCTCCACAGGAGACCTGACTTTTCTCTTCCTTTACTGTCAATTCCTAACACGTTTGTAAAGCAGGGAGGGGTGGGAATCGTGCTAACCTGGAGGCACAGCACTAGGCGGTGAGGCTTCCTCTTCATCTGAAACAAGAAATAGTAGTAAAAAAAAAAAGTCAAGGGGAGATAGACTTCATCCAAAGTGCAGCTTGGAAAAGCAGAATTCTGAAAAAGAAGAGGAGAGACTACACAAAACACTTGGAACTGTGGCAGGTGGAAGTTCGAAGACTTGGTGCCTGAAAGGATGAAAATGAGGATCAGGTGAGTGAGTAGAATAAGTCAGGTGAAATTACAGATTTAAAAACGGAATGTTAATACTCTTGTTTTTTTCTGTTACTATGTGTCTTCGAGGTGGAACCGTCTCATAGCTGGGATTTCAGAGGCTGTAAACTGCACAAAGAGACCGTCCATCTTGCTTCCGTGGGGCAGCTGGTGGATTCAAACCGAGTCCCTTCGTGTTGGCAGCACAATTCCTTACTTCTGAGCCACTAGAGCTCCCTCTCAGATACTAGACACATATTAAGATGAATGAAGGGAAAAGCAATAGACAATAAGGAAATGATCAGCATAATCATAACAACAATAAAAAAATGGAGCTCTGGCCATTGTAGATGAGAAGAAAATTAATGCTAAAAATCAAATCTTGATGAAATCAACAACAGAGGTGATTTCCAATTTCTTATTTTGTTCCTAAAGTAAATGACAGTGTTGATTTACTAAACTAATTTGGACACAGATATCAACATATACATAAATGTACATATTTCCCTTTTAATCTTTCCCCAAAAGCCTTGGGATTAACTCCTCTACTGCATTTAGGAAACAAAAGTCAAGATTAGCTATCTAAATCCATTTTCTAGGAAGCTCTGGTGGCCTAATGGCAAGAAGCTGCACTGTAATCCCAGAGATCCGTGGTTCAAACCCACCAGATGCTCCACTGGAGAAGTAGGGGCAATCTCCTCCTGTACCAGTCAGACCCAATTTCACAGTACACACACAAAATCAATTTGCTATATTAAGTTCACTAGTAATTATTTTAGGAATTTTACAAGTATTTCTCAATGTTATATTGGTATAAAATTACCCGTGCTGGATAATAATTTGCTAATGTTTATCTGAAACTGTGCTGAAACTGAGGAGGACCTGATGCACTTGCTGCAGAGGGTCAAGGACTGCAGCCTTCAGTATGGATTGAGGCTCAATGTCAAGAAGACAAAGATTCTCACCACTGGACCAATTGGCAGCATCAGGATGGATGGTGAAAAGATTGAGATTGTTAACAACTTTAGTTTGCTTCGCTCCGCGGTCAACACTATTGGCACCAGCAGCCAGGAAATAAAAAAGCGTATTGTGATGGGAAAGTCTGCTGTTAGGGACCACTCCAGGGTACTGAAGAGCAATGGTGTCACTCTGGAGACTAAGGTACATCTGATACGGGATATGGTCTTTGCCATCACTTGTTAAGCATTGGAGAGCTAGACAATGACTAGGGAGGATAGAAGGAGAATTGATACTTTGAGCTGTAGTGCTAGAGAAGAGTATTGAATATACCATGGACTGCCAAGAAAACAAACAGATTCAACCTGGAGAAAGTTAAACCAGACTGCTCCTTGGAGGCAAGGATTCTGGGACTTCATCTGACATACATTGGGCATGTTGTAAGGAGGGACAGGTCCTTGGAGAGGGACATGATGCTTGGGAGGGTGGAAGGACAGCATAGGAGGGGAAGACCCTCTACAAGGTGGATTGATTCAGTGACTGGGGTAATCGGGATGGGTGTGTCAGAGGCAGTGCGATTGGCACAAGATAGAGCAGGGTTTAGGGCTCTTGTACATAGGGTCGCTATGAGTCGTAAGCAACTCGATGGCACATAACAACAACAATATTTACCTATGTACATTTGTAAAATTCAGAATATGCTTTGTAGCATTTATATGCAGAGACATTAAAAATGCCACTTAGTGAAGTCTCTGATCTTTAAAATGTCTTTACAGTTTGAATGTTTAAGTAGACATTTGGTATTGTCTGGGCATCTGCCCTTCTCTTCCCAACGCATAAAACAAGTGTTTGTATAAATAAATAACCTTTAGGCTTGAAAATGCAGAATAGTGCTAAATTTAAAACTGTAAACCCTATGACTTAATGAAATTGGATACAGGAAACATTTGTGCACTACCATTAATGTGCACTAAAGTGATTTTCTAAAAATTAATGACAAGCTAAAGCAGTATATATATTTATAATCAATTCAAATATTTAAAAAACATATAAATTACTGATGGGAAATTTCTGTTTTGAAATTGTCAAGAAAGCATGTTTTTGTTGTTGTTGTTAAGTGCCATCGAGGCATAGATGACTCATAGCAACCCTATCAATGAGAGACTTGGAACACTTGTATTAACTTTCATCGTTTCTCCACATTCATAGAGTTTCCGGAGGCAAGCTATTTCGAAAGTGGATGCCACTCCTACTTCCAAGCCTGTTTTAATTAGGGAGCTCCACCAAACACTGTCCACCATGGGTAACCATTCTCGCATCTGACACATCAGTGTCACAGTATTCAACATCACAGCGACCACACGTTACCTCTGTACAGCAAATGGACAGACCAGTGCTATGCCACTAGGAAGAATGTTTGACCAAAAACCATTAAAGCCAGGTCTGAAGGCCGCAGATTAAAAACACCAACCTTTGGCTTGGTAGCATAACTCTCTCTATCCACTAGGCTAACAGAGCTCTCTCTGTGTTGTTATTAAGTGCCATCGAGTCATAGACAACTCATAGTGATCCTATGAATGAAAGACCTAAACACTTGTATAACTTTCACAGTTTCTCCACATTAGTAGAGTTTCTGGAGGCAAGCTATTTTGGAAGTCGATGCCACTCTTGCTTCCAACCTTGTTTTAATTGGGGAGCTCCACCAAACACTGCCCACCATGGGTAACTGTTATGTGAAGTTCCCATTGAAGAACACCTAAAAAGTAGAGAAAGAACTTGGTCTCATGTTATAGGATTTTAGAAAAGTGCATGTGAAATCTGGAATGCAAGTGAAAGTCTTGGGCAGAATAAAAAGAATCTTAGATGTTGAGGGATTTGAACATTCTTGTCATTCTTTCAAACTCTCTTGGGAAGAACATAACTTCTAAATTGCCTCTTTAAAATGAAATTTTAAAGTAACGTAAACTTAAAATTTACAATAAAGTCCCAAACCACGTAAAATCCGAACATCTGTGAGTGTAAGCAGAAGTCAGTTAAGTTCTGCCCTGACATTTCGTTTGATTTGGACAAATTATAAATTCCTCAAGGAGAGTAATCAGAGTAAATACTAGAGTATGTGACTAAAACAACATACAGCGTTGACTGGGGAATTCTTTAGGGTCCACCCCTATGAATAATGCTCTTACTAGTGACAGCTGTGGAGTCACTAACTGAATATACCCCACTTTGTTAAGTAGAGGACTAACTAAAGCATGGCAGTGTCCTAATACCTAGGCATGACCGCTTTCAGTAGTTGTGAGTGTCTTCTAGTACAAATCCTTCATCAAATCTGAGGGTGGGGACTCAACATGTACAGCACCGGTGCCTCGTTCTGCAGCTTCAATGACTCAGGGCATGTACAGCACATCCATTCTCCTGCCAAGAAACAAGTTAGATGGAAAGGAAAATCTATCAAGATTACCGTTCCTGGTTAGCGGCTAAGCTGGCATGGAAATTCAATTGTTCATTCCTTCTACAAGTATTAGTTAGGAGAATGCTGTGAGCCGCTCCCTGCCAGATGCTGGGAGGAGTGAAACTGAGGGGATGCAAGAGGTGTTAAGACATGGAACCTAAACGTCAAAAAGCTTACAACCTGGCAGGGAAAGGAGTCAACCAATACGTGATTAAGCAGAGAAAGGAGGGATTGAGTGACAGAGGCAGGGAGTCCAAGAAAAATTAGGAGGAGGAAGGAGAGAGGAAAGTGAGCTAGAAAGTTGGGTTGAGGAGTGAAATCTGAGTTGGGTGGTTAAAAAAGAAATTTAGCTGGACTGAGAGTCTGGGATTGAGGGAGGACATAGTTATTGCTCAAATAGAAGTCTGTGAAATCAGTCAATCCAATCTCTGCCCATGCATAGCTCTTCCTCATCTGTGGATAGAAAGGTATCAATAGTTACTGCATCTACTTTTGCTTACGTATCTTGTTTTATATATTCATGTCCTTGATGAAAGAGAGTAAGAATCAAAGATTTTGTATTTGAAAAGAACTCCACCAACCTACTTTATTAAACATGCCATTTTTGGTCCCTACATTGCTATGCTTCCCAAGTATGTAGTTGAAATACATACCTGGCAAGTCATATACCTGAGCAGCTGTATGAGGTGATGGCCTTGCTTAACACCTGCAAATGTTAGGAGGCAAAATTGCTACTCATTTCAGGATGTCATAGCCATCTGCCTTATTTGTTCTCTTTAAAGAAAAGAGTTTTTTGTTTATTGACTGGTTGACTAGTTGGTTGCTTTTAATATACAGAAAGGCATTTTCTCATTTAAATCCCCAGGTGTAAAACAGTTATAATAGGGTTTTCTCATTTAAATCTGCAGATATAGTAAGGTAAAGGTTCAGTCACAGATTACGGTTCAGGCACAGGCTTTGTTTAAATTGCGACAGCCTGCCCTTTACGATTACATCATTTGCTCTGCTGGTTGAGCCTTATAGCCTGGTCCAAGCACCTTTCCAAACTTGGAAACAAGAGGTGTACACCGTGAGCCTTGCACAGAATAATGTTACAAGAACTTCAGCCAGGATGTCCCAAACCTCCTTGAACTCATCTCATGGAAGGAGCGCTAGGAGTCTGCACTGTCTGCGTTCCATAAACAAATAACCTTCAGACTGGGGCCCACATGGTCAGGATTAGTATTCATGTTACTATCCATGGAAGCCACTGAAGGTCAAGGACAAAGTGGGTGGTGTAGTAACATTATGTGTTCATTTATTACAGTGTAAGTTCAAGTGAACTGAGGAAGAGTGATCCAATGTACTCAAAGAAAGAAAAAAGATATATTTAACTAGTGTGCAGGAGACACTTATACGGAGGAATGAAGTAATGTAATATGTTAAAACAAGAACATAGGGGGAAACTTCAGGACTCAAGAGATAATTAACATTTAAAATATACTGTACAGATTGTACTTGTAACAAAGAAGGACAGAAGGAAATAGTCTTTCTTATGTTTGTGGGGATTATCTCTTGATAGTGGTTGTGTCTATATTTTTATTTAAATTTTCTGTAATTAGGAAACTGAAATTAGCGTATACTACATTTATAATCAGAATAACACACAATAAAGGACTTTTTTATTTTTATTTTTTTCCATTTAAAAAATTTATTTTATATCATTTTTTTAATTTAGTTTGTTTATTTTTCATTTCAATGAACATCTACAGAGATTTTGGAATTCCATTCATTCATTGTTGCACCCCTCCCCCCCTTTGCTCCTCTCCTTGAAAAGCAAAAGAAAAACTCCCTCATTGGTACACAATCCCCCCAAACCCCACCCCCTACCCCCAAAGACTCAGTGGACGGTGGGAGTGACAATAAAGGACTTTTAAAACAAACGAAAAAGTCATTAACAAGCTTTTCTGTTATATTGGTTGGGGGGAAGGAAAATTTTAAATCAGGAAATAATAGATTATTCTAAAATCTAAATTATGTTCTTTAGTACCCAAGTAGAAAGTGAAATTTTACAAGTGATGAGACAAAGATTTAAAGGAAAAATCATTAAGTCTACCCCCGTGAAACTTTTTAATGTATTTTAACTTAAGGCAGATGGTTTTTTATGGCAATGGCCTCCCTCCACGGGAAGACAAAGGAGTCAGTATTTCTGTATTACACTGGTTCAGAGGCATACAAGATAAAGAACATTCAACTTCTAAAAACCAGCCTATCTCCACATAAATTAAAAATATAGTACTATTACTAAAAAAAGAACAAGCTTCCAACTCAATAAGGAAAAAATACATGATAGTTTAAGGTTATACTATAAAGCACCATAAATCATCATGCAAATCTGCATGACTCCATAGTGTTACAAAATGAGACGCTCGCCTCCAAAATTTCTGGTAAAACCTGTGACAATACACACAGTAACATGAAACATTTTGTTTTTAAATTATCCAGGTGATTTAAATTCATTTTCCAAATTGGTGCAATCTGAAAGGGAACTGCCACCTCCCCCCCTTAGCATGCACCTGGAACTTAGAAATGATCCGTTTGCTTGTTAGCACCTCTGTAGCGCGTGATATTTTTTTTAAAGCATTGCTGTTGTATTTCTTTTAAAAATGTGTGTAATGAAAATTTGTCAAATCATTCTTTTTGGCAAGCTGGAGTCCTGCAGATATGACAGTCAAGAACTCAAAATCATAAGGCAGAGAAATTCCCCAGATTCCTCCCACACTGACCTTTTTTCTGCTCCAATTCAGTTGCCTTGAGTCTCCCTCCAACTCACCTTTTGCTGGTGCAGTTCCAGCGTCCTTCTCTTTACTCGGTTCTGTGTGGAAAGTACATGCACATTTTTTTTAAGTGTCGTGGTTTTTTTTGAAAAAGTATTTTTATTATGAGTTACGGGGGTGTGGGAGAGTGGAAGAAATGAATGACAACAAGGTATATATAATGCTACATAATCAGCTCTGTTTCTGAACCGTGAATTTAAGAATTATAACTTAGAGCCACATAAACTTTTGATAAAAAAATAGTTAATACAGCTGATCTTTTTGGAAAGAGCCGTATATGCAGAAAACAGGCAGTAAGGGTTTTATTAAAATACATTTAGATGTACTTTCTTTTTTAAAATATTCATTGAATTTATAACTTACTAAAAATATACAAAGGAAAAGAAATTCTTTACAAATATTTGAATCTTTTTTTGGTTGGGGAATTACCCTGCTTTGAATTTTAACACTTTCAAGCCTTTCTTAAACATTAAAGAAAAAGAACTACAATGTCAGTTTAAAACGAAGGTTCATCTGATTTAGGTCACATTTAGATATACTTTCATTGTTGTTGAGGACCACTGAGTGGGAACTAGCTTAACTCACAGCTCACCCTCCAGTGGGTTTTCAGAGGCAATAAATTATTGCGCTGGAGGAGAGATTACCCATCTCTGTCCCACAGAGCAGCTGGTAGATTCAAATTGTGAACCTTTGGGTTGACAGTGAATTTCCACCAGATGTCCCATTTAGATAGACTGTTGTTGTGTAGCATGAAGCTGGAACTGACTCGTGGCTGATCCTCCAGTGAATTTTCAGAGACAGTAAATTGCACAGGAGGAGAATTCTCATCATCCTTCTCCTTTGGAGTAGCTGGTGGATTTGAACCACGTTCCTTTAGGATTACAGCATAGCTTCTTACCACTAGACCACCAGAGCTCCCGCTAGATATACTAGAACCATATTATAAAATGCAGGAGTGGGATTTGGTATACAATATGGGCCATTTCATTTTTAGATAGTTTTTCTTTTTTATTAAAAAAGTTCCGGGGAGCTCTGGTGGCCTAGAGGCAAGAAGCTGCACTGCAATCCCAGAGGTGCACAGTTCAAATCCACCAGATGCTCTGCCGGGGAAGGAGGGACAATCTCCTCCTGTACCAGTCAGATGTGTTTTGACGGTACACATAAATAATAAAATAAAAAATAACAAAAAAACAAGAAAAACAAAACGTATTTGTTAAAAAAAAAAAAGGTTCCATCTATACAGTGGTTCTCCTAGTTTGCACATCTAAATAATACTATAATAAGAAGCCAAAGTATAAAATACTGAACTCACAGGATAATCAGTTTTAATGAAAATGGTTTTTGTTTTGTTTTGTTTTGGGTTTTAAACAACTTTTATTGTGATCTGAGTGAAATGAAAATGTTTTGATGTTTAAATTTTCTAAATTAGGTCACTTTAACATAAAGAAAACATCACAATAAATGGAAAAAATACTGATGTCAAGGATTTCATCTTACTTGGATCTACTATACAAGCCCAAAGAAGCAACAGTCAGGAAAGCACACGTCATACTGTATTGGGCAGCTCTGTGGCAAAAGACCTCTTTAACGTGTTCAAAACCTAAGATGTGACCTAAAAACTAAGGCATACCTGACCCAAGTCATGACTTTCAATAACTTCATACAAAAAATGAATAAGGAAGGCTGGAGAATGGATACATTTGAATTATAGTTGCAAAGCATATTGCACACAAACATCCAGAAGAATGGGCAAGTCTCTCTTGAAAGAAGTACTGCTAAAATGCTTCTGAGAAGCAAAGGTAACAAGATGGCATCCTTTGGACATCTTATCAAGAGGAAGTGACCCCTGGGAGACATCCTGGTTTGTAGAGTTAGAAGGTCAGTAATAAAGAAGAAAACTTTCAAGGAGTGATTGCAACAATGGGCTCAAACAGCAATGACTGTTGAGTATGGTAGAGGGCTGGGCAATATTTCATTCTCTACATACAGGATTTTAATCTGAAGCTCTCAGGCATGGTTCTAATTGTTTTTGGTCAAACATTCTTCTAAGAGGTATAAGCACTGGTCTATCCATTTGCTGTACAGGGGTAACTTGTGGTTGTTGTGAAGCTGAACACTGTGACACTGATGTGTCAAATGAGATAATGGTTACCCATGGTTGACAGTGTTTGGTGGAGCTCCCCAGTTAAAACAAGCTTGGAAGCAGGAGTGGCATCCACTTCCATAATAGCTTGCCTCCGGAAACTCTATGAACGTGGAGAAATTATTAAAATTACACGAGTTTTCAGGTCTTTAATTCATAGGGTCGCTATCAGTCTTCTGTGACTTGACAGCACCTAACAACAACATATAGGATGCTTTGGCAATAATATTAAATGATCCAGGAAGCATAAAAGAGGATAGAAAGAGTATACAGAGTCATTGTACCAAAAGGAATTGGTGGACACAAGAATTTCATGAAACAATGTATGAGCAAGTGTGTGTGGTAATGAAGGAAGAAGTTCAAGCTGCTTTGAAAGAATTGGCAAAAAAAACAAGGCCCCAGGAATTGACAGCATACCAATTGCGATATTTCAACAAACAAGACATTGCCCTGGATGTGCTCACCAAGTTGTGTCAAGAAATCTGGAGTACAATCACCTGGCCAAGTGACTAGAAGAGATCTCTATTGTTCCCATTCCAAAGAAAAGTGACCCAACAGAGTGCAGAAATTATCAAGCAATTATCATTACTATCACATACAAGCAAGATCCAGCTAAAAATGATCAAAAAATGACTTGAACAGAACATTAACAGAGAACTGCCAGATGTACAGGTTGGGTTTAGAAGAAGCCATGACACTAGGAATATTATAGCCAATGTTGGATCCTGGCTGAAAGCAGAGAGCACCAGAGGACGTCTGTGTTTCATTGACTATGCAAAGGTGTTTGGCTGTGTGGACCACAACAAACTGTGGCTAAATCTGTGAAGAACGGTAATCTCAGAACACTTGATCGTGCTTATGTGAAACTTATACTTGGACCAGAAGGCAGTTGTCAGAAGCTGCAAGAAGACACTGCATGGTTCAAAATTGGGAAGGGTGTACACCAAGGGATATGTCACATCTCCATACTTTTGCCTTGTATATGCAGAACAGATTATCTAGGAGGCTGGGCTCTATGCGGAGAAATGTGGGATCAGGATGAGAGGAAGACTCATCAACAGTCTGAGTTATATAGATGACATAACATTGCTTGCCAAAACTGAGGAGGACTTGCTGCAGAAAGTTAAGCGCTTGCTGCAGAAAGTTAAGGACTGCAGCCTTCAATATGGATTTGAAGCTCAGTATCAAGAAAACAAATATTCTTACCACTGGGATGAATGACAGCATCAGGATAGGTGGTGAAAAGATTGAGATTGTTACCAGCTTTAGTTTGCTTGGCTCCACAATCAACACTCTTGGTACCAGCAGCCAGGAAATTAAAAGACAGTTTGCACTGGGAAAGTCTGCTGTCAGACACCTCTCCAAAGTACTGAAGAGCAATGGTGTCTGTTTGTAGACTAAGGTGTTTCTGATTCAGGCCACGGTCTTTGCAATTACTTGTTATGTTTCAGAAAGCTGGACAATGACTAGGGATGACAGAAGGAGAATTGATGCCTTAGAGCTCTGGTGCTGGAGAAGAGTATTGAATACACCATGGACTGCTAGGAAAAATAACAGGTTTATCCTAGAGAGGGTGAAATCGGGCTGCTCCTTGGAGACAAAGATTCTGAAGCTTCATCTGACATACTTTGGACATGTTGCAAGGTGGGACCAGTCCTTGGAGAGGAACATCATGCTTGGAAGGTGGAGGGACAAGGCAAGAGAGGAAGATCCGCAATAAGATGGACTGACCCAGTGACCAGGGTAATGGCAGTAGGTGTGTCTGAGACAATAAGGTTGGCACAGGATAGAGCAGGGCTTAGAGCTGTTGTACATAGGGTCACTATGAGTCGCAAGCAAATCAATAGCACATAACAACAACAACAACAACATATTGGAGAAATGAATAGTAATGGACGTGGCAGTACCTTCTAATGATAGAAGTAACATGAGATTGTGTTCATTAATATAATCATTTTGATCATTTTCTCTGTTAAAAATCCTTTTGCCCTGCTTTGTTGTTATGTACTGTTAAGTGGGAACCAACCCATAGCTGACTCTTTAGCAGGTTTTCAGAGGCTGTTAATCACACAGGAAAAGACTGCCCATCTTTCTCCTTCTGAGCAACTGATGGATTTGAATCATGTGACTTTGGGACTGGAGCACAGTTTCTTACCTCTAGGCCACCAGAAGTGCCCTATTACCTTAGACATTTGCACATGATGTTGGATTTGTGGTACATGCTATTGGGTATGGAATTGCCCTGCCAACCTGACGGCAGACAGCTCTAATCTACCAGCTGCTCCACAGAAGATAGATGGACAGTTTTCTTCCCTGCCATTTATATATAGCCTCTGAAAACCCACTAGAGAGTCAGCTATGAGGCAGTTCAAATTCGACAGCAGAGAAGTCTTTGGAGTTAAATAAGAACAAATTCAGCAAAGCTTAAGAGAAAGCTTATTTTAACAATCCATTAATATCAACCCAGTTGCTGTTGAGATGATTCTGGCTCAGTGGCCCTTAGTATTCCAGAGTAGAACTGAGTTCCATAGAGTTTTCAGTAACTCTAGGAAGTCTCTAGTGGACTTGTGGTGAGGATAGTGCTGTCAATTGAAAGGTCCTGGTTTGGATCTGACAGCCACTGTTAGAAAAAGATGTTCAGTCAACTCTCCTGTGACTTACTGCCTCTGAACACTCACTGGAAAATGAGCTGAGTAGTCCCAACTGGAAGGTACACTTAAACAGGAAGTCTCTATTTTTGTTTGTTATGTTCTATTGAGTTGGAATCATCTTTCTCTGTTCTTTGAGTCAGAACCACACAGGAGATTGCCCATCTTTCTACTGCTGATGACTTAGTAAGAAGCTGCACTGCCAATGCAAAGACACAGAGTTTGAATCCACTGGCTGCTCCAGGAG